TAACCCTCTAATAGCTACCCTCATTAGATTTCGACAGCAGCACGTTCTTTTGTTTTGAGTTTTAAATATCAAAATTGAACTTCAAAACGCAAATGGTAGAAATTAAACATAATTTTTACTGTACTCGAATGACGCAGCGCAGCCACAACTTTTTTGGACACAAACCATAGGTTCAACGAACATGTAGTATTTGTTGCATGCGTCGAGAAACAAATATTTAAGATGATTTTATGAAAGAAGTGGAATTCGCACAGATCAGATCAATTCACAGTTGGGAGCCTTTTGTAGGAGCCTGTTCGATATTGGAGTTTTTTAAAAACCAGTCAATTTTATCCAGGCAACATCTAAAAAGCAACTCAAACAGATAGACGCCGCCTCATGAAATTTAAAAATTACGACAGAGAAGGGAAGTTTGCAGAGAAAAAAGGCCACGAAAGAAATTGAAATAAGTGAAAACAAATATATCTTGAACGTTTTCTATAAAGACAGAAAGTTTGAACTTGTGCTTCTTCCACATAACGGATTTCTCCCTGTCTTTTGAATTGTTTGACGGATTTTAAATGTTCAACCTTCAAATCCGGCTTTTAACAAGAAAATCATACTAGTCATTTCTTAACAAAAAGTAGCTTTTGTAAAAAGCAAAATATAAAAGTGTTTTTCTTCTGGGAAATACACTGATTTTGAAGCTTCAAATTCGCTTTTGAACAAGAAAATCAAACTAGTAACATTGTTAGGATCTTGATAAAAAGTAGACTTTATTAAGAATAAAATATAAAAATATTTTCAGATAATACTATGGATTCTTCTTGACTCTGATTCTAAAAAAGGATAACATTCATTTTTATCACAATATGCGTTGGAGGATTTAAGAAAAAAATTGAGAAAATCAAAAATTCTCAAACATTCTTAAGAATTTTGTCTGACACAGTTCTATGATATCAAACTTCGGGAAAATGGTGGAGATGTCATTTATTACAATAATATTTTAAAATCTGAAGCGTGTCGGAAAAAAGCTTGAGCATTTTTTAATGAAAACAATTTTTTAAATTTTTTTGTCACCAATGAATAAATTGCAAAAGCACGGTTCCATAAAAAATCAACCCATTCAACATACTCTTTTCAATCCTCGTATCTTTGAGGCTCAAGTTGAATGTCTCTTTCAAATACATTTATCATTATTTCATCCATTCCAAATTTCAATCGAATTTAAAAAAATCTAATTGTTATTTGGTAAAAGAAAATAATTCTGATTTGATTTGTAAAGAATGAGAGATGACAAAAAATTGAAAGAAATTGATAGAAAAAGGAGAAACAGATAGCTACTGTTTTTAAAAAAAAAATTAGCCATTTTTGTAAGTCTTCGTTTGTAGTTTTTTCTGAGTAAAGCAAATTATGATAAACCAGCAACCAAGATTTCCCAAGCTTTCGTTTGTAGTTCTTTCTGAGTAAAGCAGTTTATGATAAGCCAGCTACCAAGATTTGCCATACAAATTCAATTACAATTTTTTTCTGATAACGTCATTCCAAAGTAATTGAATTTTAATGATCAGAATGGATTTAAAATATTGGGCTTCTTTGAAAAATGAGCAAGAGCGAGCCAAGTTGTCGCTTAAAAGACACAGTTAATAAACTGCACTCTTTTTTGACAACGTTTCAGAATTATTGTTGCCTGTTTGCAAGTTTGAAAGAAATTTGGCATTCTTTTAATGTTAAAAACATAATTTTATGCAAAAAAGCTTTTATGTCTCTTCAAAGAGAAACAAGAAAAACATAATTTTTAGGTTACATTATCACATTTATAGCCAGGTTATTGACTTCTCCAAGAAGAAAAAGAACTTTGTTTTTAAATCTATTCATGAAATCTTCAAATTTTCAGCTACTGATTAATTCTGAGCTTAATACCAGCAAAAAGTATTCAATTTTTTTCCTTCAGTAGATTTGGCAATTATTTTTTCTTTGACAAGCCCGAAACTTGTCTCCTCTGCTTTGCTTACTAGTCTGAAATTACAAAACAAAGCCACATTTGCAATATGCACTGCAACTCGTGGCTTTTTTTCTGGACTCGATTTTTTATCACAGCAAAAATAATATTTTAGAAAGGTATTCACGTATTAGTTGAAATTGGGTCTATCGGTGGGCAATTCACATCACACACTAAGCAAAAATGTCTTTTACAAATTTACCTTGCGATCTCTTTGCGAATGCTGTGAAGAATAAGGACAATCATAAAGAACAAACTTTTCAAGAATCATATTGGATTCCTTCAGTAGATCACAATTTATAGAATAAGCATCTTGAGAGTCGTATATCTGTAGAAAATCTTCTTTGCCCTTACTCTGTTTGCAAATCCTGGTTTTTCAACAACGAAAGAATGTTGAAGCCTCTTTACTAGAATCTATATCCTGAAATATGATTTCTGAAATTCCAATTAAATATAATTACTAAGCCTTGTCTCTTAGACTAGAAACATACCGAAAGACGCTTTAATCCATCTGGATATGCTTACATTTGAGAAGCATGAATTTAAGTAATAATGCTATGGTTTTTTGCTGATTCCTATTGATTTATGCCCATTTCATATAGGCGTGGGTTACATTAACTCTCGATTTATCGATTTCAAGCTTGATATACATGTAAATCAACTCTGCGCCAAAGTGTTTATCCAAGTAAAGCTAAAAGCCTATTTCGGCCTGAGCAAGGCGGGTAATTTCTTTTCCTTTTAAGTTACTAAAGGTCAAACAGATAATCTTTGAAAGACTATTTAGGCCATTTATAACAATTACATTGCATTACTGCCATATAAGGCAAAAATTCAATTCAGTGAAATTTTTCAACATTTGATGCGGAGTTGGTTGTTCCAGTGTTTTAAAGAGAGGGCGTGAAAAATATTGATGAATTTTATTTGCTGTTTATTTAATCATTTTTTTTAGTTGTAATAAGCGAAATTAGCATTCCAAAGTACGAAGCATACACGACTAACTTTATATGCATTTGCAATATCAACATGTCTGAACATTATCGAAAGAAGATAGGCCTGATAAAGTTTCAATAGTGTTTCTTTATGCCATTTTCTTAGTAATGTCAAAATGTTTCCCTTACAAATTTGCATAGTTTGAAGACAATTTGAATATATATCATGATAATTTTTACATCTGAAAATAAGAAAGAGAAAATATACTGCCATAGTAATTCTGGTGAGTTGATAAAAATTCCAATGTTTTTGCTCAAGTTCATACAGTCATATTTAAGTTGATTTTTTTACCCTCTTTTACCCTCGTTGATTTTACCCTCGTTTAGCTCTTTCGTATTTATGTTGATTTTGTTCTCCCCTGTAATTATACCAAAGATGACTCTAGCCAGAGTCGAAACGTTTAGTTTAATTTAATGGACTTGTCGTAATGAAATTGCCTAAATTGGAATTGTCATAATGTCTTAATAGATTTGTCTTGATTGGAATTGTCCACGATGTAACAGGAAGCTGACGAATACATAATGTCTTTTTTCTTCGTCGTCATACTGGTTATAAATTTTATTTTTAAGCTGCGTTTTCCGAAATCTCAATACAGTCATATATTGTTATAGATTAAATAGGAGCTGAGTATGAGAATTTTGATATTATGTAAAAGTGAATAACCATCACTTAATCAAAATAAGTCTGAGCTCCATAAGGTGAATAGTTCTTTCCTTTTGAAATAGTTATCTTTAATAAAGATTTAACATAAGTAGATGGTTGGCTTTGTAATATCCGCTTAATTGAACTGATAAAAAAATATTTCTATCAATAAACTGATCTGATACTAATTCAAAATCTATTGGGGAGGATAGAGGGGGGGGGAGGCGAATATTGGACTGACAGAATAAGTAGAGCCTCTATTTAATCTAGCTTGTAATTCAACCAAAAGGACGATAACAGGAGTAGTTTTTTCTTTGAATGATAAAGTATTTAAGCTCTACAATTTGTGCGTGTATAAAGTTATTAACAGTTGAAAAGATGCATAGATTAGACAGCATGTACTCAGTAGTCTTGCTTTGCAATGAAAACTTTTCTCAATGCAGGATTCTTCAAATCATACGATATCTGAAACCAGCAAGCAGGATTTTAACTTAAAACACAGAAAGAGCATAGACTTTGTTCTCCATACATTCCTCACTCATGACATATTCTTTTTATGACCGACCTCTCTTTTCTATAGTTTTGTGTTTCGATCGGTTATCAGGGGTCGTTTTTGGCGAACCTGGATAAATCGCCAATCTTTCAACTGATACCCAGTAAGATTCAATGTCCCATAATGCTTTTTAATCGTCAGATTGACGACCTATTAATCTTCCCGCAATCCTGTTTGCTCTTTTTCCACTATTTAGTTAAAGTTGCCAGTTATATTACCACTCAGAAAGCTGATCGTACTTAAATAGTGATTTTATGGCTATGTAATCGTTTTCACCCGAATTCTGCTATTAATGATAACCAATATGACAAATTTTTCAAACTTAATTTCTTTATATTCCTTATGTTAATATCATTCATCTTTATTTTTTTAGCCTCTTGTTCCTTTTTCTTAAAGGAGGAGTGAAGAGTACTGTCAGTATAGAGTGAAGGGAAATACGTAATTTATAGATCGATCATCATAGTAATCATGATCATTGTTACATTTATTATCAGAGTTATAACTTTGCAAAGGGGAGGGCTCCAACACGCAAGGTCTGCATCGTAATAACGAGAAGAATATTAGTTTACATAAAGTATTAATGAAATGTAATCAAAATTTGGTTATGATATTTCATTTAAAGATGTTTCAGCGAAATTCAATTTCTTTACAGCTCTTTTCCACTGCATTTTCGTACGTATGTGCTCAACGTGGCTTGAGTTGAGCGATCTAGATTCGACAAAAAGATTATGAAATCCTGGAGATAAGTCCTGGAAAGACATACATTGTTGATAGGTGTCAATTTTCTATTGATGAATGACATATGAAAGAGAGACCTTAAATATGTTCGTTCAGCTAAATTCCGTCTTAGTCTAGATAGAATTATCGAGGTCGAAGGTTAGACACAAAAAGGTTTAAATCAGAGAAGTCTTTAACCGAGCAGTAATTTAGAGTCCAGCTGACAGCAACTACACGGCAAAATGGAAAGAGGCATGAAATTTTCAGTGCTTAGAACAGCAGTACTGATTTTGTTTATGACAATTGAGTTGAAAGAAGCATATAGAATTGGAGAGGAGAGGAAGGAAATTGCATTCAGGAAAAACAAGGATCTTCTCCACACAGCACCTTGCAGTGGGTGCAATAAAGACTCTAATGCGATCAGAACACAGTACCATTTGTTGCGGATAAAAGAGAGAATACAAGAAGCTCTTGGAATCGCCTCGGGTGAACCAGCCACAAATCTAACCGCCCCCAGTGGCTCTTTTTTAAGTCGGGTTGAAGATCTTATGTTTTCGCGTACACAGGGTGAACTGCTTCAGCCAACAACAGCAGAAAGGCAAATATTGCTTGGCGAAACAGGTGAATTATTTTACTCACATTCTGTTTTTCACCAATCTAGTTGATTATAATACTTATAAACTTACTATTGGGACATGTAGATTAACCAGGATATGATAACTAAAATTTATATTGACTTCACAACAAGAAAATTTTCATATCGTTGGATGAGAAGTCCTGTTTTTTTCACTTTTTGAGCAAAATAAATCTTATTGATCTAACATCGTATCATCGTAGAAAACATCAGATTACGGCCTGAAACTGGCTTTCCTAATAGTTTTGTCAAATCTGTAAATCAAGGCGGACGAAAGACATAGTTACTACCCGAGGCGGCAACATGGTTGCTTCCATTTCCCTGGAAAATGCACTCTTTGAGCAAATTTACTACAGCAATCCTACTAATCCTATTGAAAAATTTTTTATACTTTAGCAAACAAATTGACAGTAGATAAAAACGTGGTCTTGAAAAATACCATGTTACTTCTAGAGCTGGTACGCTTCTACCGAGAAGCTTTAGGGGAATGAACATAAGGTACAATTTACTTACAGAGGGCCTGCATTTTTGGATTTAGTGCCAACAAGAAATCTTGAAATCATTAACGCTTTATTTGCTTACCTTCCTTAATGTCAAGGAATATCATATCTAACCAAAGGAACAACTCTTCTATTGAGCAGATTCCTGAAATTTCCCTACTGAGATACAATTAGGGGGGGGTGACACCCCCGCAACCCTCCCCTGGTCGCGACGCCAATTAGGAGCAATTTTCAAGGCTGGGTTTTGAGTTCTGATATTTAAGTTTAAGTGTTGTTCCAGGTTTGAATTTCCGGAAAACGAGTCACTTAAATCTACATAATGAAAATCTACTTAGAAAATCTATTTAGATATTCTTCTGATGCATTTAAAATATTTGATACGCATTATATTTGACACCTTTAATTCATTTGGTAGAACTAGCGAATCCAGATAGGATAATCTAGTCAATCTCGTGTCATAGACATCGCGGGGTTTTGACTGTATCAGCCAATCACAGTTCGCCTAGGGTCAGGGAACTCATTCCTGCGAATATGACATACAGAAAAGCATGTTCCCTAGCGGAATCGCCATGTCCATCGTCCGCGCTAATTGGTTTGGTCTCAAATGAATTTTAAACCCGCAAGATTGTGTGAATGTTAAACTGTTTTTAATCCATCCGTATATCGCATGACACTTATGCCGTTTATTCACATTGATTAGGAGTGCACCAAATGGTGTCATTGCTTTCTGGGTTAAAGAGGAAATGTCGTCAGAAATTTTTCCAATGTTTCACGAAACAAATCATCACAGAGAAGGCCAAGCTGGTAAATTCTTAGGCGTCAAAGATCTATTTTGAGTTTAAGACAGGAGGAAGACACTTGAAAATTGTCACGAAAATGCTGTTTTGCTTTCCCTGAACTCCATTTCAAGCTCAAATTCCAAAAGGGACCTTTACTGATAAATTTCATGCAACATTTCTCTCAAATTATCAAATCTTTCTTGCAAATTCTTTCTTCACATTCTCCGTCAAATCAGAACAGCCTTTCCTGGAGAATCAGTCATCCAAGAAGTCGTGTTCATACTGTGAATGGTGACTGGAAAAACCACACGCAAATAAGATACAGATGTATTCTATTGCATCACATTTCTGAAAACCCTTGACATTTTAAGTCAGACTAGAGTGTATTTTATCTAAGGATAGAGATTCGACTTTTTCTGCCACGCCTCATTCAAATAAGCCAGTCACGAGTTTCTGCCATGCTTCTTGGCGTAGTTTGACGTAGTGGAGTCAAAGCCCTCTTAATAATGACCTATTATTTTAAAGACCTGTCACAACATGGCAAATCTAGGTTCAGCTATACATCTCACATCAACTCTTTTTCTATAAGAACAATTTTATAAGAACACGAGCCGTAAAACTTGGTCGAAAGTAGAGAAAAAATTAAGAACAACAGTAAAGAACAGCTGAGGCTAGCTACTGTAACATGCAATTTTGAACAACGTTTTACCTCAATAGTGAGGATTTTTAACCATGTGTTGGTGCTTTTTCGATGAATATTCAAACTTGTTGGCAAATGAAGGTTGTATCACTCAATTTGTTGGCAAATGAGGTCTGAAAAGTTCTCTAGAGCGAAAAGCTAGCAATCGCATACTTACACCCTATTATTGATTTAAGAAAAAATTAAGAACAATCCAGCCTCAGATTTTCGAAGAAATTAAGAAAAGTCGGTCTGAACTTGAATTTAGTAGTTCTAATAAAAAAGTGTGTATTTGTACTTTTGGCTGGACGTACCAAACCGTATCCATTGTCTCGTTACAAAACGTCACCATCACTCTCGTTTTCGAGTTAACGTACAGTAAATCCAGCCGTCAATGGTTATTCATAATTCCACTCATTTTCATCATCATAATGCTATGGACCATCGTTTCGAAGTTGTGAATCTTCATTTAATTGCTAAAAATATCTTCTGGATCAATTCGATGTAAAAGGCAGAATCTTTTAGCAATTTTCATCGTTGAAGCTCACAATAACAAGAAAAGCAAATACGTCGTTTTATCCAAGTACAAAAACACGACAATAATAAGGTAGTATTAAAAGCATAACTATAAAGCCATAATTTCATAGTTTCTTTCAAGATTGATAATCTTTTCATTTTTTTTATTTATTCTTTTACATAGGATCATTTCTTTATGCCAAAGCAATTGAAATTTTTATTCACAAATCTTTTATTCTTTTAAAGGTAACAGCAATAGTAAATTGCTTAGCACAGAAACAAAAATTTGAATATCATTTCATCAACTTTTTATCGAAAGGATAATATTCCGAGTAGACTAGGCATTAGATATTAAGCTCAAAGAGGCTTTCCTTTAATTTTAAAACCTTTCTATCAAACTTTACTTATCACGCGCAGAAATAATTGTTTACCTGTCTGTCACAAAGTGCTCGATCATGTACAGGCAGAGCTGTACGTGTCTTTAGCGTATAGTAAAGGTTCCAAGTTGTCTCTCTGTGTTTCACTTTTAATGCGAAAATAAAGCATCAATGTTCTGGATCACTAAGATGACAGTTTAGGAGTGGCAACTCAGGACCCTATTGCTTATTACAGCAAAAACTTATTCCACACACTTATATGAAAAGATCTTTATGAAAAAAAAACATAAGAAACAAAATGTGCGTCTAAATGCTTGAGATCATTTCAGAAGTATTAACAGTTTTTTCAGCATTGAACAACTGAAATTTGCATGTTCGGTAAATTGGTGTCATGAAAAGCTGCTTCATTGTAAAGCTTTCATATATCGAGGCCGTCTTGTAATGCAGCTTTTAACTGTCGATGTTGTGTTATGATGAAGCATTCTTAAGCTATTTTATTTTGAAGCTGTCCTATGTTAAAGCTGTTTTTTTTAACTATATTTTATTTTTCAGCTTTTTCAGCTTGAAGCAATTTTATGTTGAAGCTATCTTAGTTTGAAGTAGCCCTATTTTAAGGCTGCCTTAATATGAATGTCTCTTATGTTGAAGCTGTCCTATTTTTAAGTTTTATGTTTTGGAGTCTTTCTTATTTCGAAGCTGCTTTACTTGAAAACTGTCTTATTTTTAATACGCCTTATGCTGAAGCTGTCTTAATTTTCAGTGGCCTTATTTGGAAGCTGTCTTATTTTCAATAAGCCTTATGTTGAAGCTGTCTTATTTGGAAGTTGCCTTATTTGGAAGCTGTCTTTTTTTCAAGAAGCCTTATGTTGAAGCTGTCTTATTTTTCACTTGCCTTATTTGTAAGCTGTCTTATTTTCAATAAGCCTTATGCTTAAGCTGTCTTATTTTTCACTTGCCTTATTTGGAAGCTGTCTTGTTTTCAATAAGCCTTATGTTGAAGCTGTCTTATTTTTCACTTGCCTTATTTGTAAGCTGCCTTATTTTCAATATGCCTATTTTTGAAGCTGTATTTTTTTCAAATTTGCCTCATTTGGAAGCTATCTTATTTTAAAAATGCTTTTGTTGAAGCTGTCTTATTTTCAAGCTGTCTAGCTTTTAATTTGTCTTTAATTGAATCTGTCTAATTTTGAAGCTCTTTTTTTAAGGTAGTTTCATTGACTGCTGCTTCCACATAGACAAACGAAATATGGAAAATATGAAATACTTTCGGCTGCTATGAAATATCTATGAACATGATTAATTGTATAGATGAAAGATTGACATAACAAATTTAATAATATTTCTTTTCTAGAAGCATCCAATTTCAAAAGCCAGATTGAAAGTTTGCTATTCAAAATTCCGCTGGATTCGCGAATTTCTGATTCGAGTCTTGTTCTGGCGGAATTGTGGCTGCCTGCTACATTGGCGCAAGAGGAATGTGACTTAAAGATAAAAGTTGGATTTAAAAATAGATTCTTCCAGCTTTTCACAATGCCTGTTTCAACCAAACGACTTTTGCAAGTCAAGAAACCAGACGGTTGGATTGCTCTGTCTCTATCAGATGAAATGAAACAATATGTTAAGTCCAGAGCAGGAGGAGTTCTAAAAATCTATGGAGCAAAGTTGATATTAGAGATGCAATTTCCAAAGAAGGATTTGCTTGATAGGAACTCGAATAATAAGCCCTTCATGGTGATAGAATTTCTCAAGAGTACTAAAAGGCGACAGCGAAGAGGTGTGGAGTGCAACCAAGGAAGAAAGTCAGTTTGCTGCAGAGAGAGATTGACGGTTAGATTTGCTGACATAGGCCTATCACATCGTATCATCGAGCCAAGGCAGTTTGAAGCTTACCATTGTGTAGGGACATGCGGAGCGTACAGCAGAAGTGACACGACAAGAGTTGAAATTGTCAAATACATGATGAGCAGCATGCGAAAACGAAATGAAAAAACGGACCATATTAAGTTCTGTTGCACTGCTGCAAAAACTTCACCACAGAAACTCCTTTACTACAACAATGATAAGACAAAGATCCTTACAAGGATGCTAGATGGCCTCATTGTTGACGAGTGCGATTGTCTCTAGTAAGCAGACTATCACCAATGTCCACTGTGGCTGCGTAAACAGAGTCAGCAACAATGTGAATCTCTGGACATGAGAAGAGTACTTCTAGATCGATTCACGTTGATTTAAGAATGGGAATCGAGCAGCACTTGAGTAAAAACGAAACATGACTTGCATGGTAGAATTCATGTTTCAAAGAACGCAAAAAATAATGAGGCTTTACCTCAGTGCGTGAAAATAGAAGAATTCCCGTTTTTTAATGGTTATTTGACAGACAGCATCAAGTAAAAGTAGTTATATTTTCTAAGCAGAGGATGTCTCGCGCCATTTTAATGATGTTGCAGAGAACTATACTTATTATTGATAAGGGTGTGAGTGCCGAAATTATAATAATTTGCTACTTTTCAGGTTAAAGAGAGTGCTAGAATTTGCTCATCTTGTTTCAATATCCATTGAATGTCCAATTTTACTTATCAATTTATGAACCTTACTGATGCAAACTTTACAAAATGTTGAAGGCCTAGGCCATTTTTATAAAAACCTTTGCAGAGAAATACAGCCGATTGCTAAGATTTATGATATGCCCCACAAAAACGCCTCATAAGTATCACGGTTATTTGGGACTTTGAAGATGTTTTTCGAGCCTTGTCTACAAACCACTGATAGAAATAAAATTTCTGAAAAACTTTTTATGCAGTCATCCTTTGAACTGTGTTGTTTAAGAAAATATCACGATGATCGGGCATTGAATGAATGTTGAACTTGGCTATATTGTACCCAAACATGGATCGAAAGTAAAAAGTGATGCCTGATTGGCTCTATGTCGACCAATCAGTGTCCGCTAATCTCTGTAGTGAATGACATGTTATTTCAACAAGAACCAAAAAGTGAGAATAAAAATAACTAAAAATTCTAAACGCCGACAGAAGATGACTTGGCTTTCAATGGCCACTATTACGCTTACTCGAGATGCAAATAACTCTAAACCTTACGACAAACGCACCTCTTTAATCTGTTGAGTTTTGTGTACCAAATAAGCTTGAGCGATTAGAAAGCTTTGCATGAATTTCTTTGAGTTTCATTTTCTTCTTGATAAACTTTAACTCAGACCGATTCATTTTCATCTGTATTGTCAGAAAGTTATCTAAGGTAATTTTGTTAAGGATTTCAGAATATCGAGACACTTAAAATATCTGTCTTTTAGTAAAATTAAATAATTGGCTTGCTTAGATAATTATGTTTTGACCTCTATGTTTTGTAACTTGTTGTTTTCACAAAGTAATTTAAGTTTTTGCCTCAGACCAGAGAAGTTAATATTTAAGATCAGTCTGACACAACCTCTTTAAAGGTGGTGAATTTTCTGACGGCTTAAGCAATTTCAATTTGCTTCAAGTACTGGCAACTATTTTTAACGTTATAATTTTTTTCTTCTTGTGAGCTGAGCTGATGGTTCCATTCATTGCATCATTTTTTCAGCTTATTTATCATAGGGTTTTTTTGCGTTTAAGCCTAAATAATTTATTCTAACTTTTGGCATGGTAGCCATAGGGCCTGTGTTAACATTGGCCATGTTGAGAGTCTGTTCTGATTGCAATGTTTTCATGATCAATTCCAGAAATTCTTTATCGTGTGTCTCTTTGTGCAAAAACTGACGAACCCATATCTCTTTCAGGACCGTCAGAACTGGTAAGGTAAAAGGTGAATTTGGCCCCTCTCTGATAATTTCTAGATCTGTTTATATATATTTTTATAAATGCAGTTTCAGTGTTAGTGCCCTTATTAAAGACGAAAATGCTAACTTTTTACTGACAGTCAAATAAGATCCACCAAATAATACGAAATTATTATGAAGAATTTTTTGGTTATCTACTTCATTAACATAAGAAATGATGATATAATATGATTCATATGGGCTGGGCAAATACCATAAATGTGTTTTGGCAACTGACGTCAAAAGTACGAGCTACGTAAATTGATATCTTATTGATATCTATCAAGGTAGAAGAATACCAACCAGAGCATAACCATCCAATATGATGTTTACAGAAATACTAGAGTAGTATTGAAGGCTATTAGATTAGAACAAAAAGAGCGCCTTCAAAACCATCTTGCATCTCATTTTACCGTTCTGTCATTAATCTTTGACCACCCCTTTCCTATGGTATCTAAAATGTGGACCACAGCTCAATGCAACATACCCATATCTTAGCAACTCTTAGCAACTCCCTTACCACGCGAAAAAACTCAGTTGTCTGATTGCTCTTTTTGCCATATGCCAAAAACATTACTTCACATTGTTGCAGGCCTGGAAACATACCACGAAGAAGAACGTTACACATTGCGTCATAACTCTGCATTAAACGTCGTAGCAAAGTCTTTCTAAGCTTTACCTAGTTGCTTTCCTTACGTAGATCTTTCAGGTTATCTCACCCTCTATCATAACAGAAGACTCTTTCGTCCTGATTTACTTCTAGTCACTTCTGACAATCGCATTCTCATACCGGAGCTCCAAACCATACAACTTAACTGTCCGTACTATCTATTACATTTTCGGCCGCAGAAATGAGTCTTGGAATAATCCTGAACTTCTTCAATTCTAACGGTCTCTGGCACTGACAACTTCTGAAACAAACACACTTTTTCCTTTATTTTTCTCAATTTTTGTTTGTTTGTGCTTGTAATAGTCTTTTTCTTTGTAAACCCTGGCTAGAGAATTGGTAATTACCTTTGTAATAGGGAAATTTGTAACTGTAGTTTTAATTGAATTGAAAATGAAAAATTTCCAAAAATGTTGTTCGTGAATAGATTTATCTAATGTAAGATAAGTTTCTTGTTAAAATGTTTATACCAGACAAGTCTATTAGGCAAATCCTATGTGAAAAGAGGTTTTGTTTTGAAAGCCTTACTTTTATTGAAGTCCAGAATATAAGAGAATTTAGCGACAATTGAGTTTTTGCTATTTATTCGTAATTCTGTAACACTCTTACCTATCAAGTTCTTTACACTTAAAGAATGTCTGGGGAAAATCAATTCAGTAAAATGCATGATGATCATTCAGAACAATTTCTCTTGATGAAACTCAAAGGCGTCGAAACAACGGATTGTTTGTTCTGGTTAGACGAATTTGTGTGCCAAGATAGTTGAAATCATGCAGAAATTCCCATTGGCTTAAGAATTAGCCCCTCTAAAACAATTGAATGAACAGGATTCAAACCATTAACATGAATTCGAATTTTACATTGGTTTGTAACAGAAAAAAATGATTAAATGCTAGAACGCACTGCTATCTGTGATGAACAAAACAAGTTGAAAGGTCAAAGGCCAAAAGAGCATTTTGTCAAGGTTAAAGGTAAATGCTATGAAATTTTACGGGCACAATTTTGCTCTTATAAACGAACTATAAATAAAGTCTTAATTTGATACAGAACAGTTTAAGTGCATTAGAGTCTTTAAAAAATGTCTCAAAATAGAAAAAATAAAAGATTTGCAACTCGTTTGTGCAAGAGGAAGACAAGCCCCCCCCCCAAGCTCTTCAGCATTTCTCCGGTTTCTTTTTATGACGGCATAGCACTACGATTTCACATCCAATTGTAACCGATTATAGTATGAGAAAAAATAATTTAAATTGCTAAATTCTTCTTGATTTCAAAACCCTAAATTTACCAAATTTACCGAGTAATTTTCGCGACCAGACGGTTTTCCGAGAGAGAGAGAGAGAGAGAGAGAGAGAGAGAGAGAGAGAGAGAGAGAGAGAGAGAGAGAGAGAGAGAGAGAGAGAGAGAGAGAGAGAGAGAGAGAGAGAGAGAGAGGAGAGAGAGAGAGAGAGGGGAAAAAGAGAAAGAGAGAGAAGAGGAGAGAGACGAGAGAGATGAGAGAGAGGATGAGAGACGAGAGAGAGATGAGAGAGAGAGAGAGAGAGAGAGAGAGAGAGAGAGAGAGAGAGAGAGAGAGAGAGAAAGAGAGAGAGAGAGAGACTAGTAGCAAGTCCAATCTGTAGTCAATTTTTGACAAAAATCTGTAAATCGCGAGATGTGGAATCGACGACGTTAACAAGACACTGACATTTGAGTTTGAACAAACTTGCTGCTTTTAAAAAACCTTGTAGAGACTTCTGGTTTATGCATTCTCAAAATCTAATCTTTGAATTTCACAGTGCTTCAATGAAAAAAGGATCTTAGATAGAGCATATTTTTCCTAAGATTACAAAACAATAAGAAGAAAAAACTGATCTGTTTCAGCCTAATAAACTGCTTGGAAACGATTCTATCAAAAATGGGATAGGAATGATTCATACGTTAGGTTTCCAAGTTTATAAAAAAACACTTGTACTTTAATGAAAGCTCTGAAAAATCTTTCAGAACGAAAACCAACAAGAAAAGAAAATTCTTACTTATCCTGAAATAAGTTTTTTTATGACATTGCGTTAATCTATAAAATATAAGATGAAATTACGTTATTAAATTTTCTCTGTGACAAAGAATGCAAAATATTGGGTGTGGTGGCCAGGGTTTCTCCTCCGCAACTACTTATATCTAATTTGGAAGCAGCGCACAACCCATCCGAAATAAACTCATCCAGTTCCTTATGATCTGTTCCTTATTTCAATAGTTTATGTCAAATTTATCTGCCATATCTATTTAGCGTGTGCATTCTCGATTCCACCCAGGCTTAGCATCTACACTGGAACGAGGTCTGAAAATTCACCTCTGCCTTATTCGCCTTCCCATAATGTCAACTATTGCCAAGTACGTATCAAATTGCACAAAATTTTCATTATGTTCTGGAATCCGATTTCAGTGATCACCACGTGCTCAGAATAGAGAATCAACTAGTTGTACGGTAATTAACTCCATTGTGTTTTCTTGCTTGCTTGTCCCTCATACCTGCCCGTAATTTAGATTGCGTGCAATGCATGCAAACCTGACAACAATAAGAAAAGCAATTTCACGAAAATTCCAGCAGTCCACTAGTATGATACACTGAACCAGCTTGAGGAAATCTTGTAAGTTTCATTTTATATTCATCAATTTATATAGAACTATATCTACATCGACGAAATTTTACAATTTAGTAGGCAATTTCTAAGAGTTAATATGTGATTCTTTCATTGTTTGATAGAAATTTCATTGTTTGCACCTCCTCACGCACCATTAACCTTTGTTTTTTGCACAAAACGATAAACATTTCACTATCTAATATTGTTTCCAAGGGTATTACTTTGTGCAAAAACATTTTCTTAGCAAAGAATTATGCCAGAACTTTTTTATAAATCTAAGTCAGAATTCTAGGTTTTTTTCAAGTTTCTTGACACTTGCGTGATTTCTATGTTGTCTCACAACGACCACAGTGCAATTTTTTCACGGCAATGTTATATATTTCAAAAGCATACTTATATTTTCGCAGCATTTGAAAGTGTCCTGTAAAAATGTAAACTATGCGGTGAAAAAGATTGTTTCGTTGCTGTTGTGGGCCACCGGAATTTTAAATGCCATAAAACTATTTTCTTTAAAACTTTTTGCAGAGTATCGGAATGTATGTTTTCAAGCATTGTTTTTATATAATTTAGTATATTTTACGATGGATGATAAAATGATATTAATCTTTGGATAAAACCATAAAGAATTTCATTTAAGACAATGAGGTAAAAGAGTTGATAAAGAGTGGTACAAAAAATTTATTCACAAGTTTGGTTTTAGCGTTTTCTCGTATACTTTTAATAAAAAATAAAATGTTTTAATGGTGCTTCTAAACTGAAAATAATTACAATTTAACGCTTTTGTAAATGATTTTTGAAACCGGCTTTGATCGAGCAAGGAGGACAAGCAAGGTTTTATCATTTAGGAAAAAACAGTTAAAATCAGATTTTTACTTGATCATCGGAGTTCAAGCTATTATAATTTTATAGCATAATATTTATTCTTTAAACTTAAAAAATTGCTGATTCTTTCATTTTTGGTAAATAGCATTTTATATACGCTGGATGAAATTAGGCCCTTGGGGGGAAGGGCTTCGGATCTTTGGGATGCCTAGGAAGAATCTTGGCTGAAAATCACAATTTTTATCATTATAACTAATTGAAGCAAAACCTTTTTGTTATACAGTTCAATCACGTTGAGTCGTACCCCGAATAACTCAGTCATTCATTGAGTAAGAATTAATTAATCATTAATTAATCTGTATTTCAATAGTTTCTTATACAAAGAATAGAAAATACATTATTGGAAGAACGTCGAAACATCAAAGAACTTTGGCAAACTAGGAAAAGCAACATTTCCAAATGTTTAAAGGCACCTTCCCCAGGTAGCTCTCCGTCCAGTTTCGACCTCCCTGCAAATTTCTCAGTGTATTATGTCTTTACATAAAAAATCTTCAATTTTGAGTTTATCTTTCAATGTTATTTGTATAAACTTATCTTTTATCGCAGATCTTCCTTGACTTTTCCCTCAAAGCCTTCTGCCTATGTGCAGATCATCAATCTGAATCCCATCATGAAGTCCGTTGTCAATTTAGTGGCTGTTTTCACTCTTATGACATTTGTTGTCGCAGGTAAGTTGTTTAACATGACTTGAAAAATACTGTTGTCCTTTTAAGAATCTTTAGAATTTAACTAAGAACATTTGAAGTTAAGATGCAATCCCATATTTCACGGCCTGCGCTGCAAACAGAAGGAGATTGCCTTAACTATTAATTAGCCAGTAGAGTTGGAATTTTTTTAATTAACGAATAACAGTCCCCAATTTAACGAATAACAAAGAGCCCCCAAATTTGACTTTCCTATGCCAATTTTACAATAGACAACCCTCTATGCCCCCCCCCTTCACATAGATTAAAAAAACACGCTACACCTCAGAGTAGAATACCAGTAACATGTGGCTTGTGTTACCTGGTAAACTTGGCAAGCGATCAAGAGATCAACAATTTATTTTAGCCTTGATTATTTGGTAAAGTAGGCGGTAAAAAAACTGCTGAATTGTGTTTCAGCAATGTGTATCGCTATTCCACTATTCCCACTGTTAAAATCAGCTGATAAACAAGTGATAAACAAAAATGAGGAAGAATAAATCGTTAATGGTCCTATTAAGAGGATCATTAGGTAAGTGGGACAATTAGTAATCCAATCGAAGAAAACATGTCACAAACATTTTTAGTTTTTTAAAAATAATCACAAAACTGGCTTTGTCATAAAATCTGTTAGCGATTTGACAAAGCTGATTCATTTATTTTTAGAAAATGAATTACATTAATTGAAAGAATAAGTCAATGAGCATCTTTTTATAGAAAATTATACTTAGTTCTTTAAGAAATCAGTTTTAAAATCTATAAGAGCTTTTGGTGTCACCAACTGATATCTTCTGGTTAATTCCACAGAAGCAAAGTCGATATCCATTTATTCTCATAACGGTTGCATTGCCACTAAAAAACATGAAATCACGATTGAGCAAAGAGATAATAGGACCATATCATAAATCTGTTTGGATTTAGGCTTGGCAAATAGATTCTCCTTCGTTAATCATTCAATTGGTTGTATATGCAAAATCATTTAAACCTTGATCTCATTGTTAATTCTTTAAGCCAAGTTTATGGCTTCAGAGAATCTCTGAAAAGAAACTGAAATTCAGGGCAAAATTATGTTGCAATTGCATGACAATAGACGAAGAAGTTAAATTCAAATCTTGTTTTTTGCAGGACCTGACCAATTGCCAAGTCTTAGTGATATAATTAAAACGGTCAAAGCTCCAAAGAAATTTCTACTTGGAAAATGTGAACTAGATGTGAAAATTGATGATAAAAAAATTACCATCGAGATTGCTGTCGATAACTGTCAAATAAACTTGAAAGAAATTATCGACCATTTCTTTCCCTCAAACAAATTGGATGAGGAAACAAAGACCTTCCTCGTTTCCCAAATTGTCTTTATGAAACTCGAAATTGACACAGAAAAGAAAACTGTCGAATTTGAAGCAAAGTCACCAACAAAAGTTGCTTTGGTATATGACAAGGTTTTCAAAGCAGAATGGTCGATTTCTGATAGATTTTTGAACATAAAGTTCAGTTATGAAAAGGCATTCAATTATCAAAACATTGGTGTTAAATTGAGTGGAAAACTTGGCATTGGGAAGCAAGATATCCTTTTGGAATTTGAGAAGAAAGAGGGAGAGAAAAAGATGTCTTTTAAGGCCAACACTGGCAGTGTAGATATAAAATTGTCGGTCAAGGATCTTGTTGGGGTTATTGGTTTAGAAGAGAAGATAAAGGAAATGTTTGGCGAGGAAACATTGCAGAAAAAGATTGTCGATTTTGCAATGGAGAGTATTTCATTTGAGGGGGTTTTTGATCCAACAACATACGACATAGAACTAGTGGTTTCTGGAGCAGTAAAGACAGATTTGGCCCAGAAAGTGAAGTTCTATTTTGTTCTTATCAAAATGCAAGGAGAGCCGTATAAAATTGCTGTTGTTGGAAACGTTGAGTCACTTGAATTTCAAAAACTTGTAGACATGGTAGTTGGAAAGAAGACAGAAATAGATTTTCTTAAAGGCAAAAGTCTTAATGCAATCATCATGGCAGCAACTGATAATATACTTGTTCTCCAAAATAAAGATCTGGTTGATGTGATTAAAGATGTACCTAAAGAGGAGAACGCTGCCATCCCAAAAGGTCCAACCATTGTTTTGGATATCGGTACAGCCATTGAAGATGAATCAAAATCAAAAGAGAAAAGAAAGCAGTTGTACATGCGATATGCTGACAAGAAATTCACCTTCAAATTCATACCAAATTTAGAATTAGACTTATTAAATACCCTTCAAATGTTTGTAAAGAAATCAGTCAAAACCGAGCTGCCGAAATGGTTGGGTGAAATATCTGGAAAGATCAAATTTGAAAAATTCGATTTTGATTTTGCCGGATCTCTAGACTTGCAGATTTTTGTTCCGGGCCAACTCAAAATTGGGAGCCTGCTAACAATAGCAGATGTAAAAATCAAGGTACTTCGAAAAGCAGGCCAAGATATGTGGGATTTCAGCATAGAATCGTTGACGCAGATTACTAAAGACGTTACATTAGAAATAGGCATTGAGAAAATCGAAGGTTCTTATGAACTTAAAGGACAAATACCAAAAATCAGCCTCAAGGAATTGCTGAAATATTTTGTTTCTAATGATAAATTTGCAAGCGGAGAGTTTGAGAAATTCAACATGGACTTGAAGGCTGTTAGTATTAGGTGGATACTACCAGAATCAAAGCCAACTGCACTCAAGTACGTATTTGCCAATTTGATGTAGTTATGTTATGTTATGTTATGTTATGTTATGTTATGTTATGTTATGTTATGTTATGTTATGTTATGTTATGTTATGTTATGTTATGTTATGTTATGTTATGTTATGTTATGTTAGTTATGTTATGTTATGATAATGTTATGTTAATGTTATGTTATTTTATGTTATTTTATGTTATTTTATTTTATGTTATTTTATGTTTTGTAATGTTATGTTATGTTATGTTATGTTATGTTATGTTATGTTATGTTATGTTATGTTATGTTATGTTATGTTATGTTATGTTATGTTATGTTATGTTATGTTAGTTATGTTATGTTATGTTATGTTATGTTATGTTATGTTATGTTATGTTATGTTATGTTATGTTATGTTATGTTATGTTATGTTATGTTATGTTATGTTATGTTATGTTTGTTATGTTATGTTATGTTTTGTTATATGTTATGTTATGTTATGTTATGTTATGTTATGTTATGTTATGTTATGTTATGTTATGTTATGTTATGTTATGTTATGTTATGTTATGTTATGTTATGTTTGCTTAATTCTAAGCATAAATTCATTATCATCACCCAGGTTATCTGCCGATGTTGACATGACAGATTTTACTGGAGTTCAATTTCAACTGATAGCTGTTGTGGAAAACAATGTACCTGAATGGAAAATGGGTTTCTCTGTTCCAAAGGTGGAGTTGTGTGACATGATGAAGAAATTTTTTGGAAAGGACCTAGAGAATGCTTGTTGGCTAAAAGACGTCGACTATGGTAGGTTATTTGGCGGGCTTAGTGAATCAGGATATTGTATGATACGATTTTCTGAATGTCATATTTGCAAAATAGCTTATTTTAACGATATAGGTTGTGATATATGATAGGCCATATATAAACAGGAAATCGTGATAAGCCAAAGTCCTTTAATATGGCAATTAAAAAAGCAGTTGTGGCCAAGGGTACTTTACTTTGGTACCGAAGGTAAGGTGGATAAATTAAGATCTGGCCTAAAATTTGGATGCTGTCCAGATAGCAATAAATGGAAACGGAGTGGTGTAAATGGTTAAGAATGGAAAGGAAAGGAAAGGAAAGGAAAGGAAAGGAAAGGAAAGGAAAGGAAAGGAAAGGAAAGGAAAGGAAAGGAAAGGAAAGGAAAGGAAAAGCACCATTGTTTGAGAACAACCGGAACAAAAGGAATTGTTCATTTGAAACAAAGTATTTTTATAATTTTTGAGAGGGGATACGGGGTCCAAAACTAATAGTAGCTATTACCCTGCATATATCAGATTAACCCTTATCTTAAGTTTGTTTTGGTACTCAAAAAACAAAAATCCTGTAAGCTGCGAGATAATAAATTTCTACTTTGTTTCTAGCTATCGCAATGGATGGAATCAAAACTGACGTGCAATTTGATTTGCAGCCATTAAAGGGCATACCAAAGCAAAGTAAAGGTTAGTTTCAGATTGCTCTGTGCCTACGCTTTTTTTTTATAAGAACCAGTAACTTTAAGTTCCGGCTGACTGTTCTTAATTTCTTCAAAAATCTGAGGCTGGGTTGTACTTAATTTTTTCTTGAATGAACAGGGTGTAAGCAAAGCGAGTGCTAGCTTTTCCGCTCTAGAGAGGTGTTCAGGCCTCATTTGCTAACAAAGTGAGCAAGACAACTTTCATTTGCCGACAAGTTTGAATATTCATCGAAAAGGCATCCACACATGGCCAAAACCTTACGTTTTTGAGATAAAACGTTGTTCAAAATTGCATGTTACAGTAGCTCAGCCTCAGCTGTTCTTAATTTGTTCCTAACTTTTGACCACCTTTGAGCTCGTGTTCTTATAGAATTTTCCTAAAATATAGAGTGTAGCCGTTTTTAATTGCCAATTTCAGAACAGATCGAATTGAGTACATGTAAGCGGTTCTTACAAATTGGTTTGAGCTTGAATTAGGGGTTTAATTTGGTTTGAGCTTGAGTTAGACAGGAAAACATATGGAATATAGCGAGATTAAGCATTCATATGATTAATCTAAATATTTTCGGAATGAAATCATATTAGAATCAAGTTTAAAAGGATAGATGGATCATTATATATTAAGATAATATGTATTGGTTTTCTGTTTACCTTTAACAACAAAATTGTGATTGCTATCGATAGCCTAATTTTTTTGGGGATTAAAAAAGAGTCTCATATCTAGTTGTATAGCTTCAGTATATTTCATACTTTTTGTCTTTTTCAAAGCCATTTTTAAATTTTTAGTAGACGTTGTAAAAAACAAGTAATTTTGTTAAATTTAACAGTTAACAGTAACAGTAAACAGTTAAATTTAGCACTAAACGACTTTTATCAAAACATTTGTTTTTTTAGGATTCTACTTCAGATTGAAAATTCAATTTCCAAAAGACTGTGCAGGAAATAAACTGTGCTTGGAAGCTAAAAGGATATTAGAGAAGAGAAAATCAAAGCGAAGTGGTTCAAAGGATGAGATTATAGTTACGTTAGAAGGAGTAATACGAGACACAAACTCCTTTTCAGTTGCAGCAAAACTCGAACTAGAAGAAAAACTAAGCGAAAGTGTGACTCTGTCTGAGTATCAATTGCTCATTGATATGGATGGAGTTAAAGGCAGCTTGTACTTCGGTGTCAAACTGCGCTTTGAGAACAAGAAGAGTAGTTTTGATATGATAGGTTGGTAAAACTTACGTTTGTATAGGTTTTGGTCCCAAGGGAAATGGAAATATTTAAACTTTTT